AGATACAAAATAAAGTTATTTTCTTTTTAAGGGACAGGTCTATTTTTTATGTACATATGTAGTTTTTTATTATTATATGTTTTCGTACTACTATTTCATTGAACATATTGTTAAGATTAGATTTTCTTCTTTCTTGTTTCCAATTGATGTCCATCAAACAACAATAGTTTTATACTATAAAATGAAACAATTGGAGCAAATAAAATCTAATTGCATAAAGAATTTCTCAATTGATACAAAAAAAAAAACTTAACTTGGTTATTGTTAAAAAATACTTTAAATAAAATTGCTGATAAATAAGTAAGTATATAGTTAAGTAGCAAATTAATTAAAAGGAAGAAGGGTATAATTCCCTTCAACCTCGTGTTTGCTGTTATTTTATAATATAACTTTCATTAGTCAGGATACTCTTAAAGAGCGTGGTCTATTATGCTATGTCCGTCTGTCTTACGGCATGTCTGCTGAAATCAATTTTTTCAAAGACCTCAGATATTTTAAGGATCCATACTTTTAATGATCATAGACTTTTTTAACTTTAATATTTAAGATCAGCAAAATTAATCTATAAATAAATAACTTATGATCGAAATTCCGAAACAACCTATTAAATTGGGAAGATTTTGTAATCATTTTGCGAAGCGCAATAAAAACAGTTGGTTTGTTATACCCTACACCACTTTAGTGGGGAGGGTATATTGGATTTGTGCTGATGTTTGTAACATACAAAAATATTCGTCCTAGACCCACCTTAAAGTATACTAATCGGCTTATAATCGTTTTCTGAGTCGATTAAGCGATGTCCGTCCGTCCGTCTGGCTGGCTGGCTGTCCATGTAAACTTTGTGCGCAAGGTACAGGTCGCAATTTTCAAGATAATTGGATGAAATTTGGCATGCACGTTTTATTTGACCCAAGGACGATGCCTATTGAAAATGGTTGAAATCGGTCCATTATTTCACCTAGCCCCCATAGAACAGAACCCCCCGAAAAGGGCTTCTGAGCTCATAATTATGTTAAATATACAGATATATCGATAAAATACGGCACAACTAAGTTTTATAGAAGTCTTGGTGACCCTGCCAAATTTCATAAAGATCTGGCCCCATTTGACCCTAGCTCCCATACAAAGCCCTCTTCAGAAAATTACTTGAATGTCCCAAATTAACTTATAAACACAAATATCGCGATGAAATTCAGCACAATAAAATATTATATAAATATAAATATATTCACAAAATTTTATCGGGCTTGGTCCATATTTGCCCCTAGCCCCCATATAAAGCCTCTTTCAGAAAATTAGTTTTTCATCCATAAATTGCTTAAATGTATCGGAAATGGAATATTGAAGATAAATGCTTTATTATGAAAAATAAATCACATATAATATTCATAAATGGTGTAGGGTATCATATGGTCGGCCACGCCCGACTATACTTTCTTACTTGTTTTTATTTTATACAAGATTTGTTACAATTACATTTGTAGTTTTGTGCCGATGTAAGTAATACATGGAAATATTAGCTCAGAATCATTTTCTGAATCAATTTAGCTATGTCCGTCCGTCTGTCTGTCCATGTAAATCTTGTAATCAAACTACAGGTTACAATTTTTAAAGATAATTTGATAAAATTTGACAAATATGAGCAAATATCAAAGTTTTTCAATTCCTTTGAAATTGAACTAAATTGTTAATAACTGTGGTAAAAATAAAATATCAAATAAATTCTTTACAGGATTATATACACAAGACTTCCAGCCTAAAAATTGCAAAATTGTAAAACTCTAGGTCTTCCTTTCTAAACGTAATCGGTTTTGGATGTTGTTCACCTTCTTTTTATGTTTTTGTCCACAGTTGTAAACTTTTGGATACTATTCGTTCTTGTATTAACTAAAAACACTTGGGAGATAAATTCTTTACAATCTTATCCGTGTGACATCACTTTACGTATTAGAACTTGGATGTTGAAATTTGTCGCCAGGTTTTCGATCAAAATGATTAAAGCGAACGGATTCATCACGTGTTAGGGTCTGTTTATATTCACACAAAATATTTTGAATGTGCCATTAAAAAATTTTGTTGATTTTTTTTTTAACTCTAAAATTAAAAAACTTTGATAATTGCTCATATGTATACCATAAATATACCCTCATAACTTCTCATCTTCGTGAGAAGATATAAGCTTCTCATTCCGTTTGTAATTTCCACAATATAATGTCCGATCCTATGTATATTCTGTATCCTTATAGACAGAAGAGTCGATTAAGCCATGTCGGTCTTTCTGTTTGTCTCTCTGTCTGTCTTTCTGTCTATCCGTCTGTCTGTTTGTTAGTCTGTCTGTCTGTCCGTCTGCCTGTTTAAATCAATTTTCTGAAGACCCCAGATATCTGCGGGATCCAATATGCTTTCGAGAGGTCTGCTTTTTAAAATATAACAAAATCCGAGACAACATCTGAAAATTTCATAAAAAAAAAGAAATTTTTTTGCATGCTTTGATAAAAAAAAGCAACATTGCTTATTAGAAGAAAACGTATGTTTGGATGTGTGTTGGTTGCATTGCTTTGTGTATTTTGTTATTGTTTGTGTTTTGTTTAGCATTCTTGTTGTTCTATTGCTAAAGCTATGGTAGAGTTGGGAAAAATGAAATATATTGAAATTTTATAAAATTAATCACTTTTTAAATACACTATAGTGAAGAGTATATAAGATTCGGCAAATGCGAATATAGACTTTTAAATTGTATATAATCAGCTCTTATTCCCTTATAAAAGGACTTCAGAGTGTAATAGCTCTTCTTCAACTTAATTAAGTAGTTTTATGGCAACTTTTGTAAATTAATTGCTTAGTTTAAAGTCCAGTAGATCTACATATGTAATTATATCACTGACATTTTGTATTAACCATTATTAAGTAAATGTTTTGTAGGAGGTTAAGTCTAGACGTCATTAGGTAATTTTAACAGTCATTAGTCTTTAAAAAAATAATTATAACTTTTATTTTCATCACTATGTACATGAATGAAATACAAAAGTGCTGAAACACATTATGTATGTTAGAAAGGGAACTATAGCCAAAATTTCTTAAAGCTCTGACAGAAATCACAATACCTATTGCTTATTATACCCAACTCAACTGCAGTCTGGAGGGTATCTTTGTATAATAGAAAATTATGAAACACCCAACTAAGTCGATTAGTCATGTGCGTCTGATTTTAACCAACCTATAATTTTAAAGATAACTTGAAGAACACTGATTCTTGAATTTTTACAAGTTTACAACCTTAAATGTTAAAAATAAATATCTATACAATAGAATTTCCCGAGGAACTGCCTTTTTCTACCCACCATCAATAACGATGAGGGGGTTATATTGATTTTGTAATTCCGTTTGTAACACATAGAAATATTAGTCACAAATCTACAAAGATATATATATTTTGGGTCCTTGTTAAATTCTAAGATGACTTAGCAATGTCCGTCTATCTGTCTGTTGAAAACAAGATATGGTTCAAACAGGAAGAGATATGGAGATGACATTTTCCATATATAAGTTGTGTTTGGTATTGAAAATATGCAACATTGGTCTACATTTTCGCTTAACCCCCGGAAAAATAGTTTTAACAGTCATAACTGGTTTAAAACTACAAGTATAGCGATGGAATTCAACATGAGCAAGATTTGTTTGAACCAACATCGTTCTACAAAATTGTACTATGATCGGTTCATAATTGACCCTACCCGCCATATAAAGTTCCCTTCAGAAAATGACTTTAACGCTCATTATTGATTTAAAAATATGAGTACAGCGACGAATTTGGCTAAAATTTCTTTACCAAATTTTTATGAAGATCGGTCCATAACTCTACCCTCCATATACGGTTCTCTTCAGAAAATTACTTTAACACACATTAATGACTTAAAAAGGCGAGTATAACGATGGAATCTAATATAAACAAGGTTTATATGAACCAAAATCGAACAAAATTTTAAGCGGATCGCGCAATGATTAACTCTCCCCCAATAAGGTCGTCTTCAGAAAATAACTTTAACGTACATTATTCGCTTAAAAATACGAGTACAGCAATGAAATTCGACATAAACAAGTTTTACATAATATGAATTCTTTCTATAGACTTTGATTAGGATCGATCTTCAATTGATCCTACACCCATATAAGGTCAACATCAGAAAATAACTTTCACCCTTATTGCTGGCTCACAAATTCGAGAAGAGCGATAAAATTCCACTTAAACAACTTTCTATTAATTTGATGAGGATTTGTCGATAACTTACCCAACAGCTTATAAACAGTTTTCTTCAGAAAATTACTTTAAAGCACAAATTTGGGACTACAGCAATCAACATAACATGCAATTTCGTCATATGCATCACGAAAACTTAACTATTTGGTGTGATGTGGTCTGACCATCACCATCAAAGCAAATTTCTTTATAGATGAATGATAACCAATGATGTATGGTTTTAACAGCAAACTACTATATGCTACACTAATCATGTCAAATTGGACATTATGCTCGTGCTTATTTATCTCACATGTAGGTGATGTGATCGAACGATTTGATACAGTTCGAGTTTTCATTGTGGAATTTTTTATGTCGCAGATCATACAGACTGCAGGTGTCACAATATGTTATCGCTTTTCCAATTAGAAAAAAATGCCGATCATATCTCAAACTCACTTGGTTTTATTTACAAACATACGGCGAATGATAAATATTCAATTAAAAATAAATAACAATCATACGCACAGTAGTTCTATATGTAGTAATACTTAGACTTTATATTACAATCTGCTTCGTTGCTTAATTAGCCTACGTTTTCAAACAACTCCAATTAACTTAATAATTTATATTGTTATAAAATCAAAGTAATAATATTAATAAATCTTGTATGTGTTAGTGTAACCCATTTTATTATTTATCATTTTTATAAGAAGAAGAAGAAAAAAAATGTAAAACAGGACAACGGCATTCTTAGACTTACTTCTTTTATGATCTATAACAGAGATGGTGTCAGGCATATTGCTTTATGGTCTATTGCCTCTGGCGTATCCGTACAATGATGATGTTCAAGTCGTTGATGATGATGATGTGCGATAGCGATGGCTATGACGATTACGATGACGTCGATGAGTTCTGTTTTTTTTACTTATACAAATACTTTATACTTTATATCTATGTGTATGTATATGTGATAGATAGATAGTTAGATGATGGCAGTATAGTGAGTAAGGGTTTACAACTAATTAGCAACCATACAACACTTTCGTTTTGTTAGAACAAAATACAAAAATTTGTTTTTTTTTATTTTTTTCTGTTTGGTTTAGGTGTTTCTTTTTGTTATTTTACAAACAATTTTATGTGGCATTTAGAATACACAAACAATAAATCAAGAGTGCAAAATAAGAATACAATTAGCAGCAGCAACACCAGCAGCTCTAGTTAAAAATCGAGGTAAATTACACAGGAAATATAGCAATTAGATACTTTAATAAAATGGATGGATTATTTTGCTTTTTTTGCTTGGTTGTTTGGTTAATTGGTTTATTTTGATTAATTTAAAGGTTTTAACTTGCTAACTACTGGTTTGGTTTTTCTTTAAATTGTTTTTACTGGATTGCGTTTTTTTTTTTTTTTTTTTGGTATAAAACAACTTTAACTACATTAAGTTATTTAAGGGATTTAACTTTTGAGGCTACAAAAACAAATACTAAAACAATTTCATTTGATTTTTAAGGCTAAATCACACAATTTTAAAATACACAAACATTTTTGCACGCAATTTTGTGTAAACGAAACTTCTTTAGCTTAAATTTGCAGTTTTTTATTCTTTCGAAAATTTTCTTATGCTTGCGTTTCGTTTAAGAACTTATTTTTCTTGAGAATATTTTTCCACTTTTTTTTTTACTTATTTTGTTTTATTTTTCGCAATTTATATACACCACATGAAGTAGAACAACAACAACAATAACGAAAAATAAGTGAAAAAATACGGGGATTTCTTCTGGTTGTATTGTGGTTTCTGTTGTTTCTTGTTAGTTTTCTTTTAAACTTAATCAAACCGTTCTTATTCAGTTTACAAGTCCAACTGATACTGCACCAACTTAACAACTGAATTCACATTCTGCGTCATATTTACACTCAATTACATACATTCTACATGTGAAAAACATAATCATTTTTCATACACATCATCCACAAACTAAACTACACTACACTCACTAACATATTCATATACAGATACTTTTAGTTAAAGGATAAAGCCAAAAAGGAAATGAAAACCTTAGCTGAGTGTATGTGTGTTTGTGTTTTAGAGAACAAGTAACATAAATACATTAAACGCGTTTCAGTTGTTTTTCCCTTTTTTTTATTTGTCTACGCATTTCTTTAATAATATTTTGTTGTATTCTCTTTTAATTTTATTATTTCACTCAAACTGACCTTGCGCACTCTTTATAACATTAGCCCTTAAATGTGTGTACATTCGCATTTTATCCAACAACTATTTGCTACAAACTTCTTGTACTTTCATCTCCATAAAACAGTTTTAACACTCTTTTCTTTACGCTCTTCTTTTAGGCTCTTTTTTTTACACAGTTTGAATAAGAGTTCTAAGCTTATTTGCCATTTGTTCATATCTAATTCCTCAAAACTTTAGTTTCTCTTTTATTATCTTCTCTCTTCCTTGTTGTTTCCTTTTTTGCTCTTTAACTCCAAGAGTGTCCAATGTTTTGGACTCTATTTGTTGTCCTCCCATCATATTTGTGTATCTCATAAATGAAATTTTCTTTTCGTCACTTTAACTTCCTAAATATTACGTTTAATAACATGTATGTTTTTGGTCCTATTGCTGGTATTCTGTCTGCTGTTGCTTATGCGTTTGCTGTTGTTGGTTGCAAGGATGAAATGTTTAGATCTTTTTAGTATATAAATTAACAAATGAGTTTCATGATTTATGTCACATTAACAGATGTTGACATACTTTATTTATATGACGCATAACAACATTAATATATACGAGTGAATGTGTATGTTGGTGTTGTACTGTCAAACACTTTCTTTGATACACATACACACATATACATAATGAACACGAAGATATTACCTTGAAAGCCACCAATTTGTGTTGATGTTATTTTGAAGAAATTTAGTTAATTATTTAAAAGTATTAATAGTAGAATGTTAGGAGTCCTGGCCTCCGGTAGGTTAGTGGTAAGTGTGCTAGTCTGGTAGACCGGAGGTGTTGAGTTCGATTCCCAACTGAGGCACGGGTTAGGAGCGCACAACAGGCCCCATATAGGCCTACGTGTATTTCTTTGGATTTGATGTATATACATCCTCCTTTCAAACTAACTAACTAACTAGGAGTCCTTTCGATTGTGCGCTTTTATACGTAGATGTATATAGTTCTTTAAACTGTTCCAATCATTGTTCGTAAATGATGATATGCCAGATATAACAATACTTCCAAGATGTTTAGATATCATGCATAAGTATGGACTAAGGCATGACAATTGTTTTACTATTCCCACCACATGATGTGCATTCATCACATTCCTTTTGTATAATTAGTTTAAAAGGAGATCATACTCTTCGTTTCATAATACCATATGGTCGAGTGTGATTAACTTCAAAGATGTTTGGATATCATAACTATGGACAAAAGGCATAACAATTGCAGATAATTTTTTCACTATTCCCACCACATGCTGTGCTTTCGTCACATTCCTCTTTTTGCTCTCACTGCTCTCGATAGAACAAACCAAAAGGAGATCATACTCTAGGTTTCATAATACCATATGGTCGAGTGTGATTAACTTGCCTCTAGTGTCCACATGACCTACACTTTACATTATCGGTTGGTAATGTCTTTATTAGCCTTTAGCTACCGAAAAAATATGTTTACATCTGCCTGCGCCTTTTGGTCACTTTATACTAGCGCAAACTTCCGCCTAGATGATAATACTGTAATTCGAAAGAAGTTAAAACATATCGTTTGCTAAGTTTTCAATTCAGATTCCCAGGCCCCTTTTATACTTCAGCAACATGGATTAAGAGCTCAATAACGTCCAGAACTATGGAATTTAGGGAGGGATATTGTTTTTTTCTTTAGCTTGATAATTGACTTTCAAAATCTATCTGCTGGTTATAGTACTGAATGTAACGTTTTACGAAAAACGTTTCATGGATAAGCTGTTAGTAGATGACATTTCAGCTGGACAGGAAAATGTTCGAAGAATTGTGTTTCGAGAGTAAGATTACTGATCGACCATGGAGCAGCTAACAGTATAAAAAACGACACCATTCTTTAATGAAGTGTACAAACTGTCAGTTAATGCTATGGCGATAATGGTAATCTAATTGAGGTTGATCACATTCTGTTGGTACTAAATAGGCAGGGAAAATCGTTTTGAATGTTATCGCGGAGTGAGAAGTTCTCATGACACTTCTCAAGAATAATATGTTTTGACTTATCCAATTCTTGATGCGATCGCCCAAATATTTTATTTTGTACAATCATTTTACTGGGAGCCATTGAGCAGTTGACAATCACAGCAAAAAACTTACATTGAAAAGTAATGTGTTAAAAAGCTAACAAAACCTCTTTTCACTATTTCTTCATTAGAATTTTAAGTCATTATTTTAACACGATGATGTCATTGGAGGCAAGTACTTACACGCTCGCTTACAAATAGGAGTTAAAGAAGTACTTGAAATTTCTCTTACAAAGAAGTTGTTTACAACACTTTATTGGGGAGGGTATATTGGGTTTGTGCTGAAGTATGTAACGCATTGAAATATTAGCTCTATACCCACTTTAAATTATACCTATCGCTTAAGAATCATTATACCCTACACCACTTTATTGGGGAGGGTATACTGATGTTTGTAACGCACAATAATATTGGCCCTATACCCACCTTAAAGTATACTAATCGGCTTATAATCGTTTTCTGAGTCGATTTAGCTATATCCGTCCGTCCTTCCATGTAAACCTTGTAATCAAATTTTGAAGATAATTCTATGAAATTTGGTACATGATCTTATATTGTCTCAGGGACGAATCCTATTGAAAATGGCTATGATCGGTCTATTACTTCACCTAGCACCCATACAACTGAACAACCAAAAAGGGCCGAAAGATTTTGAAGATAATTCAATTAAATTTTGCACATTATCTTATATTGTACTAGAGACGAATCCTGTTGAAAATCGGTAAAATCGTTCCAATATTTGACCAAGCCCCCGTACAGCTAAACCCCCGAAAAAAGCTTTTATGTTTATAATTATGATCCTAGCCCCTATACAAAGCCTCCTTCGAAATATGACTTAAATGTACACCATTTTATTTAACAAAAAATTGCTAAATTATATCTCAGGCAAGTTACAATTCAACATAAATGCTTTATTATGAACACTAAATGACATTTTATTTTTTATAAATGGTGTAGGGTATTATATGGTCGGCCTCGTCCGACTATAATTTCTGAATCGATTTAGCTATGTCCGTCCATGTAAACCTTGTAATCAAACTACAGGTCGAAATCTTCAAGATAAGTTGAAGAAATTTGTTACAAACGTTTCTTTTGAGCCAAGGACGAAGCTTATTGAAAATGGTTAAAATCGGTAAAATCTCTACCAAAATCGGCACAACTTAGTTCTGTGTAAGTCTAAATGTTAGTGGTGATTTTCATAATGATCGAACTTCATTTGATCCTAGCCCCCATACAAAGTCCCCTTCAGAAAATGATTTAAAAATCAATAAAAACAAGTATCACGATAAAATTCTTCTTAAATATCTTTAATGTGATGTGTGCCAATAGTTGTAAGGATAGTCTTATAATGATCCTTGCCTCCATATAACCCCTTATTTAGAAAATCACTTTTTTTGTCAACAAATTTTTAAAATATTTCGGTAATAAGGCAAAAAACAACTTTAAAGCTTTATTATTAAGAATAATCCACTTAATTTGCATGCTATTCTCTGGTGTAGGGTATCATATGGTCGGCCAGGCCCGACTATACACTCTAACTTGTTTAATAATACAAAAAGCCAGCGAAAATACGAAGCAGAAACTTTGGTTTGTTACTCAAATCTTCTACATACTGTCCTACTGCTTAACTATTTTAAGCGTGTCAAATAATGTTTTTTGTTTTTCTTTTTTGAAAAAATTAAATATTACTCATACGTCACATATCCATATTATAGACGTCAAAACAAAGGGAGATAATTGAAAAGAAAGCCGTCGAAGCTTTCCTAATATTAAAGGACCATTAAAATCTTAACTCATTAACCAGTTGTATTTCAAATGATCTTACAATGTTACCGTTCAGCTATCATATAACGGAAGCCATCTTCAGAGCAGATTGAATCATTGGAAAACTCACAATTATATAGTAAGTTTTATTAAAATTTTTACTTAGTTATGAAAAAGTTAAAAAAAAATCATATAATTCTCTATAGTACCTAAACAGATTGTAAGAAATCTAAATTATTAAAAACTGTTTGATGTTTTTTTTAAATTTATTTAAAGTCAACTTAAGTATTTACACATCCGTACGTACACACACATATACATATTTAGTTTATATGTAATCGTAAATGAAATATGAACACAACATGTAAAAAAATGAATAAAAATAACATTAAGGATTAATCCTTAATAGCTTTAACAAAAACATTATTAGAAACGCTTTTTACAACATACAGTTAATTCCCCATAGATACATTAAGCTAAGATATTATGTAATAAATATGTGGCAATTGCTTTATCTAAATTGAAATACTTAAAGGAAAAACTAAAGATATTAGTTCTAACAAGTAGTATTTTTATTATGCCATAAAACTCAATACAATTGAAATATTTCCTTTAAGCCCAAAAACATAGTTGGTCACATTAATTATAAACCATGATATGTATTTATCATTACACATATACAAACACATAAACTATGTTACTAATTTAATGTAGCAGCCCGGAAGGCAAGTGTTTTATACAGATTTTTTATTTAGTTTTTTTATATACTAGATTTTTTTTTTGTATTTTTTTATGGTTGAAAAAGGGAAAAATAATAAAAAGAAATGTAGAATTTTT